ATGTTACAGCAGGAGTGCGACCAGGAGGTGCTGCTCAGACAGCACAGCTTTTACATCACAATTGTGTGGAGAAAGCACGTCACTCCGGATAGAGCCATCAACACATGACAGGAACAGCTCCCACAAAGGCAGGGTCTGGAATGTGCACAGTGGGAGCCACTCGGGGAGGGGCAGACACTTCTGCTAGGCGTGGAAGCCTGCTCCTCCAGACCCTTCTACCTTACGAGCTGCCTTTTCTCCTGTGTGTGTCCTCCCCCAAGGTGGAGAGCTGCAGAAGGGTCCTTCTGATGGGACTGTTTTCTAAAGCATGTCCATTTATCTCTTCGATCAAGTCCCACCCAGTATACAGGAGCTCGGTGAGGCCTCCACACCTCAGGGGTCGGGACCTCCTTAGAAGCAGGGCCTGGGAAACCCCACCTCTGCCTACATCAGCAGGACTCCTAAGAAGTCCAGAGATGGTAAGTCTTGTGCTTCAATCTGTACTAAAAGGTCAGGGGTGCAGTGGACATTGGTCATTCTTAACTGTCAGCATCTGTCCTTCCCCGCAGCCACAGCACTCTGATACCCTTTGGGGACCCTCTGTCACACGTATCCTTTGCGGGAGGTGACACTGCCTCCCCTATGGAAGTGCAGAGAAGCACAGCCTCCTTCATCCCAGTGCAGGTTGGGGGTGGGCAGGGACAGATCGCATGACTTAGGGCAGGACTCTGTACTGTCAGCTGGTGATGGAGGCCAAATGACTAGAAGAAAGGAGATAGAATGTCCTCATCACAAAGAAATGATTGTCTTGTAATTATGAATATGCTAATTATCCTGATTTGTTCATTATGCATTGTATACAGGTATTAATATTTAACTCTCTACCCCACAAATATGCATAATCGATTACTTTTTAGTTAAAAAATAGTAATTAAAACACTTACAATAGAAGGTTACCCTTGGGGGAATTCTACTGGGGGGGCCATGCGGGAACCTTCTGGGGGGCTGATAACATTCTATATCCTAATCAGCATAGTAGTTTCAAAAGTAAAGGCATATGACTTTACAACAGTGTGAATGTACTGAATGCCACTGAACTGTACACTTAAAAATGGCTAAGGTGGTGAATTTTCTGTTGCCACGATAAAAAAAAAAACCCATAGATTAAAAGAATTCAACACGTTGCATTAAAACTATTTCAATAAACACAAGAAAAGCCAAGATAAAGAATATAGCATAAATTTAAAAATTCATCAAGATTTGTGTTCTTTACTATACGTGAGTTATACCCGATCAAAACAAGAAAACAAAAAACACTGTCATAGCAAATTGTACAACACTGGTGACCCTGAAGCCTTCCTAGTTATCTTCAGGTACCAGAGATCTCATTTTCTGCAGAACTCAGGACATAGCAACTCATGCTAGAGCTGGATCCTGAGATCTCAAGGCAGCTGTTCAAAATCTCTTGGCACTGGCAAGCACATATCTACGTGATTCAGATTATTTTTCCATTCTGTGCAATCAAAACAGAATACCAAAATAAATTGGATGTTGGGATGACAAAATTATAGAGATGGAATACAGATAAATGGTTGCCAGGGGTTACGGAAGGGGGGGGCAGGATGGGATGACCTTAAAGAGGCAGCCCAGGGGAGTTTCTTGGAGGTGATGGAGGCATTCTGTTCTTGATGGTCATGGTAGGTGGACAAATCTACACGTGTGATAAAATGTCATAGAACTACATGGAAAAGCATGCCAAAAAATGAATGCATGCAAAAACTGATGATACCTAAGACCTGTAGTCTAGCTCACTGCATTTGGCTTGTTGATTTCTTGGCTCTGATAATACACTGGAGTTATGTAACATGTCACCACTAGATGAAGTTGGGTGACAGGTATAAGAGACCTCTCTGTACTATTCTGGCAACGTCTTGTGATTCTATAATTATTTCCAAATAAATAAATTGGATGTTGAGACTGGCATGAGACTGCCATAACCACAATTTTCAAATTTTCATATTCACTGAATCATCCCATTGTTTTTACGGACTGCTGGATAATATGTACGAGTAAATCCTGACACATTAAAATAAAGGTATACTAATAAAACACCATATAAGTTTAATTTTTTAAAAAGGGATTCCTTTGTAATAGTTGAAAATCACTGGGGAGTTAGAAAGAACACAGGTTGGGGAAGCGGCACGCGGGCTAGGTCAGCCCTCGGCTAACCTGCAGTCACATGAGGAACAACCGTACTGAGTCCCTGACACAAAAGACTTTCTTATTAAGGAAATGGGGCACCTGAGAGGTCACATAGGGACATCAGATGCCCCTTGGTAACATGTGACTAAGTGTCAAATGAGTAGTGCTACAGACTGAATTCTGTGTCCCCAAAATTCACATGTTAAAGCCCTAACCCCCAAATGGTGACTATTTTCAGAGATAAGGCCTTTGCAAAGTTAATTAAGGTTAAATGAGGTCATAAGGGTGGGTCCCAAATCCAATATGACTGATCTTTAAAAGAAGAAGGAGAGACACCAGGAATTCTTGCACACAGAGAAAAGGCCATGTGAGGACATGGCGTGAAGACAGCCGTCTACAGGCCACAGGGAGAGCTCTTCCCCAGAAACCAACCCTGCCAACACCTGGATCCCGGACGTCCAGCATCCAGTTCTGTGAGACAATAATTTTCTGTTGTTTAAGCACCCAGTCTGTGGTTGTGGCAGCCGAAGCAGACTGATAAAAAGTAGTGTGGTTTAGAAGAGGGTTTAGAAGAGGGAGAGATGCTCGAGTAGGACTAGCTGCCTGCTTTTTAGCAGGCGGCCTGAGTACTGTGCTTAATCATGATTACTGGCAGATTCCTATCAGAAGGGGAATCTTTTGCATACTCAAGAGAAAATAAAGGCCAGTTATAAACCACAGGAGAGAAAACCACGTGCCCAGATTCATGTTGTTCATGAACACCAGGTTTCCTTTATGTGCACTCATTCCTTCCTTCCTTCATTTATTCACTCAACCAACAGTGGTGACTGAGCTTCTCAAGTCCTGTGGCTGATGCTGAAGGACACAGAGGACAGAGGCCAGAACTCAGCTCTGTTGGCACACAGTCTTACGGGGGAGCTCAGCTCTGTGTGGCACAGTCTTCTGGGGGAGCTCAGCTCTGTTGGCACACAGGCAGGGGCTATCTGACGGATCAGTGCCTCCACAGGGCAAGCGAGGGAGTGTAAGGAACATGGAGCAGAGGCACCCCGAGGACAGAGGCCTGGCAGCTATCAAAGCTGACCACTGGGAAGGAGCAGCCACTCCTGGGGATAGCATAAGCCTTGGCAGCCCTGTCAATGGACAGAGACCAACATTGTACATGGCTTCTACAGCTCCAGCCAGACTTGGGCCTATGTCAGCTACTGCTCGAGAAAGGCATGTTTTATACTGCCTTCAACTGACAGTTCCATTATGGACTCAGCCCCCAAATAACAAAGCCCAGGGTGGCTGCTCGCTTGGTTGTTAATGCCTTGCTCTCAGATCTGTTTAAAGAATTGATGAAGTATAATATATAAAACCCTAACAGGTGACATAAATGTTAGCTATCATTATACCAGATTTTGAAGGGCCTTATAAAGTCACCTATTCGAAAGTGATTATTTGACGGATTAAGAAACCAAAGTTGAAAGTTACCTGAGGCCACCCGGCTCGCACGCAATAGAGCCAGAGCGAAGGCTGGGGTTACCGCTGGGACTCCATGAGAAGCAGAGGTTTTAACATTTGAATTTCACAGCATTATATATTTTTCAAACCTATACTATCTTCCTTCATTTTTACAATTCTAAGCACATGATATTCACAATTTTGCTTTTGGCAATGCAATATTTCAATCTCCCTGGTGAACAAAGGTTAGTGATATAGCAGACAAAACTGGAAACACTCTTAACATTTCCTCTATTAACCAAGAACTGTCTCTATGCTTGAAGAATGGTTTCCATGTGAAACCTACAAGAAATCAAGAGCAAGAAAGACATAACTGAGGACAGGAGGGAAAGGAAGATGGCAAGTGAAGGGCACCGTGGAAGCGGTGGCGGCGCAGGAGGGAGCAAAGTGGGTTTCTCTAGCACTGCATGTAGGTATCGTACTGTTCGACTGGGAAGCAACTAGTGCGGAGCCAAACCTGGTGGAGGGGACAGTCTACAGTCACGCTTCTTCTCTTAAGTCATGATAGAGTTTGGATGTGTCGTCCCCGCCAAAGCTCATGTGGAAATTTGACCCTGAATGTAGCAGTGCTGGAAACTGATTAAGTCATGGGGGCGGATCCCTCACGAATGGATTAATGCTCTCCCTGGGGGAGGGGGATTAATGAGTGAGTTCTCACTCTATCAGTTCCCACGAGAGCTTGTTGTTTAAAAGACCCTGGCACCTCCCCTCTCTCTCTCTTGCTGCCTCTCACCATGTGATCTTCTTGTACCCGCTGGCTACCTGCCACTTTCTACCATGAGTAGAAGCAGCCTGAAGCCTGTGCCAGATGCAGCTGTCCCAGAATTGAAAGCCAAATAAACCTCTGTTCTTTATAAATTACCCAGTCTCACGTACTTCTGTTTTAGCAACACAAACTGACTAATACATGTCACTTAGTAAAGATCATAGCATGCACGAGAACACACCGCTAAGCTTCTGTCTCATGACAACTGTGTACCTCAGCGAGCTTCCCCCTCCCACCTGGGCGACTGCGATGCCAGAACCTAATGCACCCCAACTGCAGATACCTTGGGGAAGCCTGGAGACACCTCCCTTGGTCTAACCTTTCATATCTTTCCTATTAACCCTTTGTCAGATGTCTTCTGCCATAAGCAACTTCAAAACTTTTCAGGAAAAAAAAAAGGAACAAAATAAAGAACTGATTTATAAGAAAAGAGGCAACAGATGTGCAGAGCTTGTTTGAGGACAGCTTTACAGACTGGAGTATAATCAAGAGCCTCCAGATCACCTCGTGTCTGTCAGCCCTCAGATTATCATCCTCATTACAAACTTACCAACAGTGTCGCACGGCTCATCTTTGTGTACACAGAAATCTGTCCTAAAAAAAAAAAAAAAAAAAGACATAGTCAGGTATATGCAGCAACCCCCCAAGAACAGGATAAGAAAATGCTGCCAGTGAACCTTGATGAGTTGTCCCGCCATGCTATCATCTTGGCCATCATAGGTCACAGTGAAGAAAAACAACTAACAGTGTTTGCCAAGAGTGGCCCACCTGCAATGTTCCCAGGTGGTAAGCCCAGATACCCCACACAAGCCCCTCCCTCTATAGCTGAACTATTCTACACATAGCAGTTGCTGAAGGACTCCTTCCAACGCTGAGAAAGTTCTGAAGACATTTGCGAAGTCACTTAATCAGTCTGTATCACTAAACGACAACCGATCCCACACGCTGCTCTGCTTGAGCAGCTTTCCGATGCTGTGATGACCTATCACTTCTCTGAGAAGACGACAAAAAGGTCATTTCTAAAACTGCATTCTTCAAAGCTCCCTAGGATCCCCCAGGTGTGTAGCTGGGGATGAGCGAAACAGCAAAGACGCTGGGAACCTGGTCTAGCCCTGGTTCTGCACGTACAAGGACTTCACTCTGGCCTCTCATGGTGAAACGGGGGCATCTGGGCCCTTCTCTTCCAGCACCAGAGCATTCCCACGGTTCCTTCCAGAAATTCCCACAGCCAGGAGCCAACCACAGAGTGCAACCTGGGATTTGGGTGAGGACAGGGATGTGGAGAGGGACAGCCTGGCCTAGACCCGGCCTTCCTGGGCCTGCGCGGGGCTGTAGGAAGACCCGCTCATCTGCAGCTCTCTCGATATGTTCAAGCACCACCACGGACTTGAAAACTGTGTTATGATGCCACCTCTCCTCATTTGCCTTTGCAAAATCTTCTGTGAAGGAAGACAGGGCCAGCCAGGCAGGGCTGACACTAAGGAAAGTTATGGAAGAAAGTGGCAGGTCCTGGCAGGGCCACACAGAGCCTTCCCTTGGTCGGGTAACAACTCCCCTTCCTGACCCTTCATCTCCACACTCTGGCATTCACTGTCCTTAATCCCTTCCTTCCCTCTATCACATCTACTCTCAGGACAGGATTTGACCTGCCAGTCGTATGGGAGGTGATGACGGAGAAGGGAGTGTGCTCCTGTCCTAGTGTGCTAGCCAATTTGTACAGAGGCCCCCTCCGTCCCTGCACTCCAGTCCACACCAAGCTGTGGTGTGTTTGCCTCAAAAATGTAAACACACCTGACACTTCCCAGCTCTGTGTGGGCTTCCACCCTGCGTGTCCCTACCCTGGCTGTGCTTCCAGCTCAGGGCTGTGAATCATAAGGATCCTACCAGACCACTCAGACCCACAGAGCCAGGATCCGTACGCTTAAAAGGTTCCACTTGGGGTCCTGATGTATGGAATCCCAGGTCCAGGCCCACTGCCTCAGGCCAAAGCTGTCCCACCAGGTACACTGGACATTCTGCGAGCTCAGAGGAGAGGGCGGAGTGGGAGTGACAGCTTCACTCCAGCCAAAGAGGAAGCAGAAGAGAAGCTGGGCCAGTCACGTCAGGAACTTGCACGGGTTTTGCTTACCAGAAGTTTCTAATTTTTTCATAACAAACATATATCAATGTTTCTGGTGAATTTTAAAAATTATTTATTGGCAAATTGTATATATTTATGGGGCACAATAGGATATTTTGATGTGTGTATACACTGTGAAATTATTAAGTCACACTAACAGATCACCTCTAATTTTTCTGTGGTGAGAATATTTAAAATATATGGCCCGGCCCGGCGGCGCACTCGGTAGAGTGTGGTACTTGGGAGCGCAGCAGCGCTCCCGCCGAGGGTTCAGATCCCATATACAGACCGGTCCGCTCACTGGCTGAGCGCGGTGCGGGTGCGACACTGAGGGTTGCGATCCCGTTACCGGTCACGAAAAAAGACAAAAAGGAAAAAAAATATATATATATATACTCTCTCAGCAGTTTTCTAGTATACATCATCATTAACTACTAAGTGTAGTCACCATACTTTACAACAGATGTCCAGAACTTACTCCAGGTAATCAAATTTAAAACTATCTTAACAAAGAAAAACATAAAAGCCTTTAAACCCCCCACACTTCTCGTAACCTCACTCCAAAACCATGAGAACCACCACGGAAACCACAAGGGAATACCATAAAAAGCTGAAAAAGGAAGCCTCGTGACTTGATTTTTCCGTCAGAAGCTGCCTTGTAGACTAGTGAACGAGCAGGCAGTGAGGGGTGGGAGGGAAGAAGCGCAGGCAGAGATAAAGGCCACCGGTGTCAATGCGCTCGCAGGCCTGCACCCGTGTGGCCCCACCCCAGCTCTCCTGCCTGACCCCTCTGTGCGGGCGTTTGCAACGGCTCTCAGGCACACATGCTCACACAAAGACTTTCTGGCCAAGACCTCATTTCAGGTTTCCTGGAGTTGCGGACAGCACATGCTGGCAGCTCTGTCCCACTGCCTTGGCTGGGCAAAGGCCTCCAGCCCCCAAGAAGAGAACAGAGGCCACGGGCAGGGCGGGCGCCATGGTGGAGAAAGCAAGTCCTGGAGGCCGATGCAGCCTCCCGGTGTCCCCATCCCATGCTTCCCTGAAGGGAAACAGGCGGCCTCCAATGACAGACCCTTGGGCACCACTTTTGCTTCTGAGGAAAAGGACGGAGGTGTGGCTGGGTCGGGAAGGGCCAAGCTCTATGGGAAGCCTGTCTGGAAAGGGTCGGCCCGAATTCAAATCTTCTCTATCCTTCCTATTCAAGGTCCTCCCTCAGAAGAGGAAAAGCAAGCCATCTGCCTGCAGGGGCGCTTCACCTCCAAGACTCTGGCTTTGTGCCCTTAATTATCAGGGGCACATGCTGTTCATGTCATCTCACTGCCAACTCACGCCTAACCCACACACAGGGGCTGCAGGGTTCATTTGGTGAATAAAGAAAAATGAGGCCAGGCTCAGCTGCCAGTCTCTAGATGCACTGGGGCTCTGCTGTCCGTTCCTCAAGAGGAGGAAGGTTGACTTCAGGGGTGTGTGACCCACGCAGCTGCACAGGCCCTGCTTGAAGCCTCCCACCTCCACACTTGGTTCAATGCTCAGCAGTCAACATCTGAAATTCTTGATAGTGTTTGAACATGGGGTCCCACATGTTCATTTTGCACGGAGCCCCACAAATCATGTAATAGGTCCAAAGCATAATTTACTGCCTGGCATATAGTTAGGGCTTAATAAATACTGGCTCCTTCATTAACTGACTGACATATGTTTTCAGACCTCTTTCAATGTGCCCTTCAAGCTCCTGGCAGCTATGTCCTTCGCCAATGTCTGGAAACCTGGTAATACCACGTTCCACAGACATGCGCCAAGCTCTCACCATGAGCAAGAGGTCCCCTCAGTCAGGCCGAAGGGAAGGCCACCCCAAGGGAGCTGGGTGAAGTTCCACTGGAGAGAAACATCAGCGTACAGTGGAAGCATCCCAGTGTGAAGCCACAGGCTAGCTCTGATGTCTGCTCTGGTGCCTCCTTGGCATTCAGCAGGAGCGCGGACCTGGGCTTGGGGGAATAACCCTGTGTCCTGGCTTCCTGGGTCAGACGTACAGCCAAAGGTAAAGCCGAGCCAGGTGTTGAGGTCCCCCTGGAGTCCTGGTCCAACATGTGGGCCTTGTGGGGGCCCTCAAGCCCAGTCCACTCACAGATCCTTTCTAGCACCAGACACAGCTGCAGCTGCTGAAAATCAGCTTCTGCCACCTCCAGCCCAGCAGCTTCCACTAGACACGAGAATGCACTCACACCCTCCACGGGGCTCATTCCCTCCACAGAAGGCCATCTGTTGGGAGAATGCACTCCCAGGCTCAGTCACAGCCCATGGGGGAAAAAAGAAAAGAGAAGAAACCCTCAGACTGGCAGGTCCAGGCTCAGGACACAGGGACATTGTCCCCTGAAAACTGCTGGCCTGTGTGGCCTCCAACTAGACACCCAGCTTGAATTACTGTGGGAGGAAAGGACTGCTTCTCCAGAATAGCATCTGCCTCACATCCAATTTCCTTGCAAAAACATCAGCCCATTATTATCCCAACCTAGGAAACTGCAGCTCTCTACCTCTAATTATTAAATGATGCTTCTTGACCAACTTGGCCTCTCAACAAAATCCAAGGTTGCCTCCCCTGTCCTTGCAGGAGGTCTTCAATTTAACATCTGCGAGGACCGTGAGGACAGAACTGTGCACTGATTCCTTCAATCCTGCAGCTCCACAGACACAGGTGAGCAGAATCATGTAGCTTTGAGGTATCAGCATGAACTAGAGAAAGAAAATGTGGGCTCCCAGGGTGGTGGCAGGTAACAGTGACATAGGAGGCCACTGGATCTGCCCTCCCAGAGCCCCGCTGCCTATAGCTGAAGAAACCTGTTTTCCTTGTTCCTGGAGGACACCTCCCACCTACCCTCAGAACCCTCACCCAGAACCACTCCCATGCAATCAGGACCTCTTCCCAATGTGCTCAGTTAGAAAAGAGCATTTAAATTTTTTTCTATTGTGGTAAAATACACATTACATAAAATTTACCATCCTAACCACTTGTAAGTGTACAATTCAGTGGCATTAAGTAAGGTCACACTGCTGTGCAACCATCACCACCATCCATCTTCAGAACTTTTTCATCTTCCCCAACTGAACACCTCTCTCCCATTAAACACTAACTCTTCACTTCCCTCCCGTCAGCCCCTGGCAACCACCATTCTACTTTCTGTCTATGTGAATTTACTACTCTAGGCACCTCATGTAAGTGGCTTATTTCACTTAGCATAATGTCCTCAAGGTCTGTCTATTTTGTAGTGTGTGCCCGAATATCCTCCTTTATTTAAGACTGAATAATATTCCCTTGTATATATAAACCACATTCTGTTTATCCATTTACCCATTGATGGACACTTGGGTTGCTTCCATCTTTTGGCTATTATGGATAATGCCACTGTATGCAAATATCTTTTAGAGTCCCTGCTTTCAATATCTTTGGTAAATACCAAGAAGTGTGATTGCTGGATCATATGGTATCTCTATTTTTAATATTTTGAGGCACCATCATACTGTCTTCCATAGCGGTGATACTATTTTACGTTCCCACCAACTGTGCACAAGGGTTCCAATTTCTCCACATCTTTCCAACACTTATTTTCTGATTTATTTTTTTAACAGTAGCCATCTTAATGGGTGTGAGAAAGAACATTTTTACACAAGATATCTCCTTTGTGGTATACATGCTGTTAGGAGGCAGGAAAATAAGAAAAGAAAGTCTAACAGGCAGCATCTTTGAGTTGAGGGTGCATTCACATCTGCCCATGGCTTTTTGTAAAAGGGCTCATCCAGAAGCTTTCTCAATACTAATTTTGGTGACATTTATTGCCTCTGAAAAAAATGCTATTTGTTCCCAAACCAAGACCATTTATAAGCGCTTTCTCCACCCAGACAATAAAATGGCAGGAAAGAGAGAAAACTTTTTCCAATGTAGGGAAAATTCTTACAAGTTATTAACCTTTTTTAACAAAACACCAGAATTTATACACTTTATACAGTATTTATAAAAATCACTTTCAGAGTAAAGACCTTAGAAGTTTTAGCTGCATATTCCAAAGATGGTATTATTTAGAGCTCCTCTCTAGGAAAGTCCTTTAGACCTAATGTAATTATCATTTGGAAAATCAGTTGCATTAATTTATAGTTACATTTAGACAAGGACTCTTATTTGTTCTCTCAGTCGAATTCACTGTCAAGCATAATACCCTGAGCTCCCACACTGCAACACTCAGGGTGCCCTACAGATAGCCCCACAGGCTCTGATTGGTATTTCAAAGTGCCTTAAGCAATGGCAGCCAGGCCAGTGAGTGTGGGTGGCCACTGCTGTGGGCAGGTGGGACCTGGAGATTCCCAGCACTCACTGCAGTGAGCAAGCCCACATCGAAAGCACAAAGCAGGTCATGTTCGTCCCTGGGTCCCTGGTGCTGCTAGTATACCATCCATATCACAAACAATCAGAATTATTCAGCAGACTTTTCCTAAAAGGTCCCACTACATGTTTAATCACATCCTGTAGAAGCAGCAAATGTTCTCATATGGGATCGGTATGCTACAGAGCACAATTTAACCCTTCGGGGTTGGCAATAAACAAATCAATCATCTACAAGAGGGATTAGGCATCTGTTTGGTGACTGGTGCTGCCAATATGCACATTCCAGGTTTCTGGAGAGGAAAAGGGAGCTGCACTGCCTGCTGCCGCAGTCACGGGACTTCTCTGGCTGGCTTTGGGAGGTCACTGGGCTATGGTTTTGCAGCACATGGCCCATGAGATGAAACCTAAGAGCCTTTCTTGACTCAAAACCAAAACGTGAAATGGGATTTAACTCTTTGTGGGGGGACAAGTGGTCTCCAGCTGAAGATATGATAGAGTTCTCCCTCCCGCAACTTTACTTCTAAACTCAGAGAGGAAAAGAAAGCATGGAATATGCGAAGTAATGTCTTTAAATTTAAAAAAAAATCCTTAAAATTCAAAGTTGATACATTCCGAGTAACTAATAAAATTCTGGCATTTTTAATCTAATGGATTAAATTATTAAGAAACATTTCTGCATATTTTCAAAAGGGGGATTTTGGTGTGAATATTTACATTATTAAAGTAAAGCAACCAAAGAAAATCAGTGTTCCTCAGAGAGGTTTGAGACATGGGAAAAAAATGAAATAGCCACACTGACATCTGCTGTGGTTTGAATTGTGTTCCCCCAAAAAGATATGGTCAAGTCTTAACCTCCAGTACCTGTGAATGTGACCTTATTGGGAAAGAGGGTCATTGCAGATGTAATCAAGTTAAGATGTGGTCATGCTGCATTAAAGGGTGCCCTAATCCAATGACTGGTATCACTGGTGACTGGAAATTTAGACACAGAGAGAGGTACCCAGAACGCCATGTGATGAAGGAGGAGACAGGAGCGATGCATCTACAAATCCCGGCAAGCCAAGGACTGCCAGCAACCACCAGAAGCAGAAGGAAGGAAGAATCCTCTCCTAGAGCCTTCAGAGAGAGCACAGCCCTGACAATTTTGGACCCTGATTTTGGACTTCCAGGCTCCAGGACTGCGAGGGAATAATTTTCTGTTGTTTTAAGCCACCCAGTTTGTGGAAATTTGTTGTGGCAGCCTAGGACACTACAACAACATCACTCCTTGTTGCTTTGGAGGCTGCCTTTGGTTTCTGTTATCCACTGCTGGCCCCCAGCTTCCCTCTCAATCTAGAAGTATAAGTCCAGTCCTATAGCCTGTGAAGAAGCTCAGTTCCTTTCTTCAAGTTGTAAGACTCCGGTTATCTAGGATTTTGGTATTTTTATAATGTTAGTTACAGGAAGAACGATGGCAGCACTTTGCGAGGAGGGCTTCACATGCAACAGCTCATGTAATGCCCCCACCTGGAGGCAGACACTCTCATTAATCCCCACTTTACTGATGAGGAAACCAAAGCCCAGACATGTGACCCACGGTCTGAATTCCAAAACTGAATCCCTAACAACATGCCCTATTTCCTCTCCAAAGGGAAATGTCTTTTTCCTTCTGTCAGTTCCAGGCTGAATCCAGTCTTACCTGGTCACAAACACAGCAGCATCCACAGGGGGCGTATCGTCCTTCCCTCCCGGAACCTGATTGTTGCCAAGGTACCGTGCTCCTCCGTATTCCTCGTTCTGCCAGTGACAGAAGCTCTCCAGGGACCGTTCGCCATGGTGCCCGATGGACAACTTGGCCTAAAGGTAGTCAAAGGGAAGTTAGAGAAGCGAACACCTGGGAAAGCCAGAGTTTATGCCCAGACTATGGTGTGGACGTTAAGGTGGAGACAGCTGCTCATGGAGATGTGCCCCAAAGAAAAGGCTAACACTAGTGGCTATGCAGCAGAGACCCGGGGAGAAACCACTGGGGGCCTTTATTTATCCGTTCAAATGAAGACTATTATTAAAGAAAAACACTCTTCTTTTCTGCAAACAGAGCAGTATACAAACCAGGCAGCGTTCCCCCGATCTCATGTTTATTGCTCAACTCTGCAGGTGACACTGCCATGCAGGAAGGCCCTCAACTGAAAGACGAGAAAACACTTCTGTGAGTCCGAATCGGGGTGGAAGCCTGGGCACAGCTCCAGAAGGGAAGCTGTGATCCCAGTGGCCTCACCATCAAGCGCTGCACACGTGGAGTGGAGGGGTATGTGCATGAGCAGCCCGCTATGCACAGGCCATGCTTCCGGTATCAGTCCCTGCCCTGCTCTCACACTCTTGCTGTCTGCAAAGCCAGGAAGGGCAAATGAGACGACAGCCACCTGGAGCCCTCCTTAGTGCTCAGCCACTGGGAAGCTTCCAGACTGGTCACATTTTTTTTCTGTGTGCTCTGAAAGGTGTGGATGGGGACTTACTGGACGTTGTCGCAGCAGGACAAGCTTGGTAACCTGAATGTTAACTTTAATTCCAAGGCTCTGGTGCTGAAACATATTGTATACCTGTTAAGAGGGAAAAAAGAAATAAAGATATAAATACCAACATTTTAAAAAAATACAGTGGTATCATGGATGGGAACTTGAAACAGAGAAAAGATATTAGCTAAAAACTAAGGAAATCTGAATAAATTATAAACCTTAGTTTACAATGATGTATCAATATCAATGTTAGTTAGCCCATTAACTGCAGCAAATGTACCATCGTAATGCAGGATGTTAATAATAGGGGAAACTGTGTATGGGAGCTCTCTGTACTATCCACTCAAATTTTCTGAACTCTTTTTTTGGCAGCTGGTTGGTATGGAGATCCGAACCCTTAACTTTCTGGGGTTAAAACACCGTGCTCCCACCAACTGAGCTAACCAGCCAGATTTTTCTGAAATCTAAAACTGTTCAAAAATACAAATTCTACTAATAACAAATCATTATCAATTAAGAAATTAATATTACAAATACAGTTTGTGCTCCTCTAGTATTAAAAAAAAATGAAAGAAGAATAATTACATGAAATTCAAATTTCAGTGTGTAGATAAAGTCTTACTGGAACAAGAAAAGCAGATATATGTGTGAAACATAACCCATATTTTATTAAAAAACCTTTCTGAGACCAAAATACTCCCTTAAAAATGAATTCCCCAAAAGAAAAATATATATTATAGAAAACTCTGGACTCACACACATGTGTACATACAGAAATCAGTTGGTTAAGAAAAAATGTGAGACAGGTAATTCTTTAAAAAAAATGGATGTTGGACGATTCTTGCAGAAAACTCAAAATTCCCACTCCAGGCTTTCGTGTAGAGGGTTGAAGGGAACCTGTATGAAGGCTACGGGTAAGAGAGATGCCGGCTGCATGTCAGACTCACCGCAACCCATCCTGGTAAGTACCTCCACCTGGGAAACTGAGGGAACCAGGCTCCTTGAGGTAAAGCCACCCGCTCAAGACTTCAGACAGTCAACGATGACTTGATTCACACCCAGGCTCGTCTAGCCAAAACGCCCATACTTCTTTACTCCCTGAATTCCTCATTCTAACCAAGGTTTGTCATTGAAATAAATTTAAGTAACAGAAAAGGATACATCCTTCTCAGTTGCGTACCTCTTGTTGGCAGAACTTAATTATAAAAACCTCGACATCAAGAAGTCAAAAGAAAGTGTTTCAAGAGGAAGAGGAAGAAAACCTCAAATAAGGCAAAGGAATCAAAGCTGACACACCTGGGAAAATGCCCACTGGATTTGAGGGTCCCTAGGTCATTATGACTCTTGAGGTCCTCTCCCTTACTATGGAGAAAGCAGGATGCAGGGAGGTGGAGGTACGGTAGGGGAGGTGATAGAAGAGGTAGGAGGTGCAAGGTATGGAGGGAACAGGGGTGAGAACCTTGTGAGTATTCTACTTGTTTTTTCTCATGATCTAGAAGGGAGAATCTCCCAGCAGGAGCATTACAACATTCTCCGGTGGGTGCTGTGTTCACACTGTCAATACATCAGCAGCCGCAGGAAGTGATGACCACTGCAAACAGCATAGCCAGGGTCAATTCAGGCCAAGTGGAGCTGGTCAACGACATTTCACTTGGCCTACAGACAACACCAAGCACGCACAGAGCCTCAGCATCTGTGTGACAAAGGAATTAGCTGTGTCATGGCTTGGATTTTACTCTTTGAAAACTGTCATTAAATTTAAATAAAATCTATCTTTGTGTAATTTAATATTATTTCCCACAAGAAAAAGTAGAACACATTCAGTTGTTCTGTTCTCATGTTTTGGTTTTTTTCCTGAAACTTCCTTTTCTCAAGAACAAACTAGCAGTCATTTTTTCATACTGGACCATCCACAGATGGTGTTTATTACCTACCCCCGAGCCTGGGGGAAGAGAGGAAGGCACATAACCTTTACCTTGCTTTGATATTTCAACACACATCCATGGCTGTAATTCAAGTATTTTTGGAAATATTCAGTATTAAGATTGGGCCTAACCTGGTATACTTCAGTTCAAAACATGAAATTCAGGAAGAATGAAAACTGAAGTTATGAGGGTGAAAATTCAAATCACACAGCATTTCATTTCAGGATACAATTTAAGTACCACCTGCAAGGTCTACACCAGCCAAAACCAAAGACATTAAAGAATTCCGTAGGTTTAAAGAAATAACATGGTAAAGCAATCCTCAGTAGTTTTCTGACATGCCACATTAAAGAGGAGGAAAGACCTGCATGGAGCAAAGCAGGTGTCAGGAAGAACAAGACCACAGGAACAAGCTGTCTTGTTAGAATCACCCATCTTCTCCTTGCTGGGCTGATGACAGTTCAGGACCATGTGCATCTCAAAGACCATTACATCAAAACTCGGATGCTTCCCTTGGAACCTTGGAACGCACATGCATGATGTGAAACGGAGGGATGTAAAAAGTTTCATACTCCAGGAACTGGGAAGAGACGGAAATAGGGAGTAGTTGTTTAATGGGCATAGAGTTTCAGTTTTGCAAGATGAAAAGTTGTAAAGACTGGTCGGATAACAATGTAAATATACTTAATGATACTGAGCTATACACTTCAAAATGGCTAATTTTGAAATTAATGGTAAATTTCACATTATATGTATTTTACTACATTGAAAAAAAATTTTAAAAAGCTTTGTGCTCTAAATAACATTCTCTGTAAGCCTCTAGGAAGGTACTTCCTCTTGAAGTGTAACGAGGGTGCTCATGTTCAGGAGAACAGGTATAGGAGCATGACCACGGCTAAGCACTTTGCCACCTGCCCAGTACCAACCGCGTTTCAACAAAGTTCAGCAGAATGCAGGGCAGATGCACGGCATCTCCCTTGAGGCCCTGTGCCATGCCAGACAAGCCAAACAAAAATCCAATGACAGCTGCAAAACACAAGGTGCAAGCCTCAGAGACATGTAGCAAAGTATCCCCTTCTTTTTTTCCCATGGAAATTCATGCTCAGGAGAAGGTTTGGAGCAACGGCCACATGATGTTTAGGGAGACACCTGGCTGGGCATGGAACAGCACAGCCAATCGTCTGGAAATTCTGTCTCTGGTGTCCAGCCCTGGCTGTGTCCCAGTAAGTGCTCAGAGCCCTGGCTGCATTTGTCACATTTCGTTGGCAGCCTGGGGGTCAAGCCAGATGGACCCACTGCCAACAGCACAAGGCAGCTCTCCCGGCTGGGCAACTTGGGGACATAGGGAGGGGCAGGCAGGGACCAGAAAAGGAGCCGGTGCTGGAGGCACGTGGGGAGAAGCTGCTAGCCATGCCAGGCAGGGTTTGCACAAGGTACCACTTACCTGCATAACCAAGGACCTCCCCAAGAATGACAGAGACCTGCGGCTGTCATGCTCAGGTCATATACAACAACATTCAGACTCCCACACAGGAGAGGGTTACATTCTCTAGCACAGTACCTGCAAGTGGGGTTCCCAAAGCCAAAGCAGCAGCATCGACATTACCTGGGCACTCATTGGAAATGCACATTCTGCAGCCCACACCAAACCACTGAGTCAGAGACCCTAGGGTGTGCCTAGTCATCTGTGTGAACAAGTCCCTGAGGCTTCTGGCTCCCACCGCAGCGTGAGGACCAGTGAGTGCTCTAACATACGCTAGCTCTGTTGGTCACCAGAGAGAGGCTTGTTGTCCACTTCACATGGTAATTGAGTGAAACATGTCATTTTTCCTCCAAGCAGAACTTGCCCGGAACATCTCAGGTTTTTCATGCCCCTCCATGGTTGTTAGGGAAGCTAAGAACAACCAAAGCTCTGTCAAACGGCCCCGTTTTCCACTTTCGCTGCCCAAACCCGGTACTTTTAGTATCAGCACCACCTGATTCCATCTGCAGTTTGTTCTTTAAAATATTCCTACTCCTGTGTCAGAACTGCCGCAACCAAAGGGCATCAAGCTGTGGATGTAAGGAGGCACTACTGCACATGTGGAGAAACAGCAGCCCAGCTGAGCACTGCTTGCAGCTGCTGCCAGCTCACATACCCAGCCTGGGGCAGGCTTTTGCCTCCACATGTACCTGCACTGATGAGCAGCTTGCTGGGGACACAGAGCTGGAGCAGGACTCCATTCCTGAGATAAGAGGCAGGCAGGAGGAGCTATTAAAAGGCAAACCAGTGCACTGCACTCTTCTGCGTAAGCCCATGCAGTGGCTTCCCATGGCACACTGAAAGAAGCGCATTCTCCACCCTGGGGTACCCGCCTGCAAGGTCGACCTGCCCACCTCTCACTACACCCCCACCCCAGCCTCCTGATCTCCTACCAAGAACCACCTCTTTTTGTGTTTCCCAAATAACAGACTGACCCCCTCTAAGTGGAAGGTCACTCCTCACAGAGGTGCCACAGCCGCCTCAGCCACTCGCGCTCACGAAGTTCGCTGCACAGTGGTTATCACTCTCTGGATTTCCTTCTCACAGAGGTGTGTGTTGAATACTGTCACTCCCACTACGTGGGCTCCAAGAGGATAAGATCTGTCATGGTCCCTCTTTACCCAGAAGAGTATAGAAGAGTCCCCAGCACACATTCAGTGCTGAATGGAATCAGGGACACTCCCATTTTTGTGGTAAAATGCATATTATGTGAAATTTACCATCTTAACCATTTTTAAGTGCACAGTTCAGTAGTGTTAAGTACATTCATGTTGTTGTGTGCCCAATCTCCAAAACTCTTCATCTTGCAAATCTGAAACTTTGTCCCCATTAAACAACAACTCCCTATTCCCCCTCTCCCAGCCCCAGTGACCACCATTCTACTTTCTGTCTCTATGAATATGATGACTCTAGGAACCTCATATAAGTGGAATCACACAGTATTTGTCCTTTTATGTCTGGCTTATTTCACTGAGCATGATGTCCTCAAGGTTTATCCATGTAGCATGTGTCAGAATTTCCTTCCTTTTTAAGGTTGAATAATAGTCTATTGTTTGTATAGATCATTTTTTGTTTATCCTTTAATTCATCAATGGATACTTGGGTTGCTTCCACCCCTCGGCTATTGTGAATGCTGC